GAGCGCCGCCACAGCCGGGCAGTGGCTGAGATGTTGGGGCTGAAGGACCGGATGGATGTGGAGCGGGCACTTTTCACCCTCATCCAGCGGGTGAGGCGGGCACAGGAGGGACCCCAGCATCCGGACACCCCTGTTGTCCCCCCCACAACCCGCTGACCCCCATCCCTGCAGGCACTGCAGCTGGCCGTGCAGGTGCTGGTGCTCTGCCGCGGGCACCAGCAGCTCCGCGAGGGGACCATCACCGCTGGCAGCCTCGTCACCTTCCTCCTCTACCAGGGTAAAGTCGGCCACCACGTGCAGGTGAGACCACACAACGCGTGTCCCCTTCACTGTGTCCGTCTGTCCCTGTCCCCGGTGCCATCCCCTCTGCCCCACGCAGGCGCTGGTGTTCGGCCACGGCGACTTGCTGAGCAAAGCGGCAGCCGGTCGCAAGATCTTGGAGTACCTGGACCGGCAACCCACCGGGGACACCGGTGGCACGCAGGTGCCTGCCACGCTGCGGGGCCACGTCGCCTTCCAACGCGTCTCCTTCGCCTACCCCACGCGCCCCGAGCACCTTGTCCTGCAGGTAGAGCCGTGAGTCTTGAAGGTCCCCAAGGAGGGGACATGGGTGTCCCTGAGTGTCCACCACTGCCACCACATTCTTCTCCCCCCCCTTCCCCCTCAGGATGTCTCCTTCGAGCTGCGCCCCGGTGAGGTGACGGCGTTGGCGGGACTCAACGGCAGCGGGAAAAGCACCTGCGCGGCGCTGCTGGAGCGATTCTACGAGCCCGAGGCCGGGGAGGTGCTGCTGGATGGGGTACCACTGCGGGACTACGAGCACCACTACCTCCACCGCCAGGTGAGGGCAGCAGAGGGCAGGAGGGGCAGCACGACTGCGTTGAGTGGTGCCCAGTCTCAGCCTGCGCCCGGGGGCAGGTGGCGTTGGTGGGGCAGGAGCCCGTGCTTTTCTCTGGCACCATCCGGGACAACATCATCTTCGGGCTGGAGGGCTGCGGGGAGGAGGAGGTGAGGGCGGCCGCCGCCGCTGCCGGTGCCCTGGGTTTCATCTCGGCGCTGGACCAGGGTTTTGAGACTGGTAAGTGTTGGTGGGGGCTAGCGGGGAGGGGACACAGGATTTTGGGTGGTGCTCAACCCCCGGCCTTTTGTTCCACAGACGTGGGGGAGAAAGGGGGTCAGCTCTCGGCAGGGGAGAAGCAGCGCATCGCCATTGCTCGAGCCCTGGTGCGGCGACCCACCGTCCTCATCCTGGACGAAGCCACCAGCGCCTTGGATAGCGAGGGCGAGGCAGCGGTGAGCGGTGGGTGGGTGGCGGGGTGAGGGGTTCCCCCTGGTGAGGAACCCCCGTGTCCTCGTCCTCGATGAGCCCACCAGCGCCCTGGACGCCGAGAGCCAGTTGCAGGTGGGAGGTGACATCTATGTCCCCTCAGTCCCACTGTCCAGCAGCACCCTGGTCCCTGGGGGATCCCCTTAGTCCCCATTCGCTGTGTCCTCTTGGTCCTCATGTCCCCTGGGTCCCTTCTTCCCCATGTCCCCTTGGTCTCAACTCCCCATGTCCCCTTGGATCCCACATCCCCACGATCCCCACTCCTCAAGTCCCATGGGACCCTGCTCCTGTGTCCCCTTGGTCCCTGGTCCCCACATCCCTGTGGTCCCAGCATCTCCTTGATCCTTGGGCCCCAAACCCCCTGTGTCCTTGCCCCCCATGTCCACTTGGTCCCTGGTCCCCATGCCCCTGGGTCTCTCCTTCCCACGTCCCCTTGGTCTCAACTTCCCACATCCCCTTGGTCCTTGGGCCCCTTGTCTCCGCGTCCCCACACCCAGGGGTCCCCACTGACAATGCCACCCACCACAGGTGGAGCAGGAGATCTTCGGAGCCAGCGGGGCCGGACGCGCGGTGCTGCTGGTGACAGGGAAGGTGGCCCTGGCCATGCAGGCGCAGCGGGTGGCCGTGCTGGAGGGGGGACGACTGCATGAGTTGGAGTCCCCCGAGGAGCTACGGCGCCCCGGCAGCCGCTACTGTCACCTACTGGAGGGGGGGGGACAGGGGGGGACAGCAGGGGATGGTGACACGAGGAAGGAGTGTGAGGAACAGCAGGAACTGGGGACACCAGATGCCACGATAGGGTCACCAAGGGATGAGGACACCAGGAGCCAGGATGGGAACACTGGGGGAAGGGATGGGGACACTGAGAACACGGGTGGGGACACTAAGAGATGGGATGGGGACACCACAAACCAGGATGGGGACACTAAGAGATGGGATGGGGACACCACAAACCAGGATGGGGACACTAAGAGATGGGATGGGAACACCACAAACCAGGATGGGGACACCACAAACCAGGATGGGGACACTGATAGATGGGATGGGGACACCACAAACCAGGATGGGGACACTGATAAATGGGATGGGGACACCAGGAGCAGGGATGGGGAGAGCGAAAGCTGTGACAAGGGACCGTGAGAGTGGTGATGGGGGAGCGTGGACACCATGCCGGGAACCATGCCGGGAACGTTGCTATGTCCCTGCTACATGATGGTGACCACAGGGACCAGCAGGTGCCAGCGGGGCTGGTGACTGGCAGGACCAACCACAGGACACTGAGTTTGAAATAAATCCTTCTCTTTGTACCCAGGATGTGTTGGGGGACGCCAGAGCTGGGGTGGGAAGGGGCTGCAGAAACCATTCCCCCTCATCCTATGGCTCCAGTCCTTGATCAGGAGTCCCTCCTCAGCTTTCCTGGAGCTCCTTTAGGGACTGGAAGGGGCTCCAAGGTCTCCCCAGAGCCTTCTCTTCTCCAGGCTGAACAACCCCAACTCAGTCTGGCCTCACACCAGAGGGGCTTCAGTTCTCTGATCATCTCCGTGGCCTCCTCTGGACCCACTCCAATAGGTCCATGTCCTTCTGATGTTGTGTGCTCCAGAGCTAGTTGGGACAGTAATTTGTACAAAATAAAGCAGAAGTGCTTCAGAGGGGAGCTGGCTGGGTTGAGGGGGCTGCCCAGTCAGGCTACGGGGTCTTGGGCGCCGAAGCTAAGCATTCACCCTCTGGTTGTCACCGTCACCGTGGGAAGCGCGTGGCGTTGTCCTCGGTGTGAGGACTCCAGAGCTGGACGCAGTACTCCAGGTGGGGTCTCACCAGAGAGGAGTAGAGGAGCAGAATCACCTCCCTTGAAGCCATGTTGCGGTAGCCGCGGCGCCTGTCATGGGGCCTGCCATGACCGTGGGTCTGGTTTCCCTCTGTCTCCCCTGAGGGTGCTGCACAGGATTGAGCCACGTTCAGTGGACACTGGCCCAGCACCGTGAGGTACGTTGGGGCTCCCTGGAACAGCCACAGCTTTTTCCTTTCAAATATTCCATCGCTTTATCGGGGTCCTGTAGTTGTTCGGGGGTGAAGTCCCAAACCATTGGAGGTCAGAAGTTCTCTAGATACCTGCCCGTATTCTCCCATGTGCCGTGCCACCCGTGACTATCCAGCCTCATGGCAGACCTCTGGATGCTATTCTTAAATAGTCGGTTAACCCTAAGCAAGACTTGAAACACGTTCAGGAGACACAGCAGTAGGACCACGCTGGCTGGAACATCCGGAGGATATTCAAAATTTGCCTCCCAGTACCGACGCCTGAGGAACACCAGTTGTCACTGCTCACCACTTGGGACATGGAGCCATTGGCCACATCCTTTGGAGTGTGACCGTCCAGCTGGTTCCTTTTCCATTGGTCCATCATGTACCTGGCCCAAAGGAGAAAAGGGAGTAGAAGGAGCCGGGGAAAGTATCCCCCAACTGTTTCCCCCATAGATTGGCAATGAGGTACGCTCGGGGCGCTTGAGGTACAGACAGGACAGCGATGCTGCATAAACACCCCAACATAGCCACCTGAGCGGTGCTGTTATCATATCATAAATTCACATTACCCAGGACAGCAAAACGATAATCCCGATCCCTCTCCCGGAGGTGGTAAACAGCATCGCGGGGAGCACATAGAGCACGTAAGAATTCACGTAACGCAGCCAGGCGTACAAACACAGCAAAGTTGTCACCAGCGACTATTTAACTAATATAATAGATACGTATAACAAATTCATTTTAACACGCTCTGGTCAGATACGTCATGAGCTCAACCCTTTGAGCCCCACATTGGACACCAAAAAGGACTGTTGTGGTTTAGCCCCAGCTGGCAACAAAGAACCACGTGGCCGCTCGCTCACTCCCCACCTTGGCCCCCAGGGGTGGGATGGGGGAAAAATTGGAAGAAAAAGGCAAAACTCGTGGGCTGAGATAAAGGCGGTTTTAGAGAACAGCAAAGAAAAGAGGAAAACAACAGCAATAATACTGATAAGGGAATGTACAAAAGACAATTAGTGCACAACCGCTCACAGAGCGGAACCCGAAGCCCAACCCGCTCCCGGGCAGCAATTCCTGACTCCCACCGGCGCCGGCCCGCTCCCCTTTGGACCCTTGAAGCATCTTTACTTCCTTCAAACTTCCTACTTTCAAGTCACTGCCAGAGACACGGAGTCTCCAGACCATTGACTTCTCCCACTTGGTTCCCCTTGGGCTCCCCTCAGCTCCCAACACACCAACTGGGATCCCCTCCACCACTCCAGGAATCCAGATGCGTCCTGTCCCCTTGTACCCCGCTATCACCGGGGTCGCTCTGCACTGGTGTCCACCAGGGCCTTCTATTTCCATGGGACTGATGTCCCAGGCCACCGAATCCGTTTGACCCCTTCCTCTGCCCGGCCCACGTCACAGACCACGTGCACTGGGGGCCATCCAGATCTCTGGAGGCCCAATTATTGTCCAGGTCGCTGTAGACCACCACGAATACTGTCAAGTACCAGACACCGTCCTCTCTGTAGACCACTTGCCTCGCTGGGTTACAAGATCTTGCTCAAGAGGCTGCTTTGCCTTCATGCTCAAGAAGAGCCACCTCCAGAGGCTGCGGGTAGCTGCCCCTCTTCTGCTCCATCAGTCCCACCGTCCCTAGCAATGGATCCCGGCTGCTGGGCTTCCCGACCTTCCAGTTCCAGCCTGTTAGCCCCTCCAGCCCAGCACGGGAGCAACCAGGGAGCACATGTCTTGACCTGCCTGATGGAAGAAACCGTTCCCCGCATCTCGCAGCCTGGTCAGGGATAGGGACCAGGTCATCTCTGCCTCTGCCCCCTCTCAAGAAGAGCTGCTTCTCCTGTTGATCCACTTCCACTGTCTCTCCTTGACTACAAGAGCAACTATTTTAGTTCAGAGTTGAGCTCCTGGTTCAGTCACAGTGACTGTTCACGTGACCTCAGACCAGAAGATGTTTGTCTCAGCGCCCGTCTGCACGGCCTCAGGGCAGGAGACCTTCTTCAAAGTGCCCCTTTATGCAGCCTCCTATCAGGAGACCTTCCTCTTGGGGTTTGTGTGGCCTCAGAGCAAGAGACCTTCTCAGTGCCATTTGCATCCCTGTGGATCAGGAGAGCTTCTTCTCAGCTCCTACGTGGTGTCAGAGCTCACCACCTCCACCGCAGGGACGAGGCTGCCAAACCATGTCCCGAAGAAAAGCTGGCCAGTCACCTTCAACACATTCTTCTCCCTTTTTTGTCGTCAAGTACAACACGATACCGCCTGGAGTACCTCCCGTTAGTTTGGGTCATCTGCCTGGTTGTGTCCCCTCTCAACACCTTGCACAACCCCCATCAAGTCACCGGGGGGGTCCCGATGAGAAACAAGAGAAGACCATGAGCTGCGCCAACGCGTTTCAGATCCATTGCTGTGGCACCGACCCTAACCACCGCACCCTGCTGGGCTGCCGCCAAGAAAATCAACCCTCCCCCAGCCAAAACCAGTCCAGCCCTCGACCCGAGAGCAGCCCGGGCACCAGGAGAGGAGGCACAGCGAGTGGGTGGGTGGGGACCATCATTTATTGTGGGCATCAGGAAAGGTACACAGAGAGGAGAAATCACTTACACAATCAAAATTAAATCATTGCTGATACTACGCAAAATTTAAAAGAACCAGAAAACAGGAAGTGGCAAGAAGACCCACCACTGTGGCCGGTGGTGGGCAGGAGCAGTGGGACGAACTCTCTCTCCAGGCAGCTCCCAGCATCTCCCAGCGCCTCTCTGCCCCAGACACTGGGAGGACAGGGGCCACATCCAGCCACGTGCCGGTCCCTCGTCGAGCGGTTATGCGGTGATCCCTGCAGGGACGGGAGGAGGAGACAGTGTCACCCAGGGCCACCTCCCTGTCCCCCACCCTCAGCTCTGGGGGTCTCGGTGCCCCTCTCCCACAGCCCGGTGTTGCCCCGGCTGTGGGTCCCACGGGGCAGCAGAGAGCTGATGCCGCTCCATCCATCCCCACGCCGTACCTGTGGTTGAGCTGCCAGAACCCCCGTCCGTGCCTGCGAGAGAGAAACAGCCGTGAGCTGCCAGCCCTGTGCTCGCTACGGGCACGGGGCACGTGCCAGGAGCCGGACCGGGAGCCACGACCACGCTGCAGCCACCGGGAGAGGAGGACGGCGCCGCGAGCACCAGAGGAGAGACACGACCTCTTCCACACGTCCCCACTACGGCGCTGTAAAGAGGGGCACAAGAGGGAGGACGGGGGATGGGGAAATGCCACCAGCGGGCACAAACCGGAGCCACGAGACCGCCCTGACCCTGGGCAGCGGCTGGAGCCAGACCTGCCCCCGGTACTCACTTGACGCCATTTGGTAGTCCTTCTTCTTCTTCCCTGCAGAGAGAAAGAGGCGTCAGCATCCACCGTGCTGCACCGACAGCCTCGGGGGCTCCCCAGAGCACAGCGGCTCGTGCCCACAGCCCCTCCCGGCCCCCCAGGCCCTGCCTTCCCCCGCACCCCTCTGCCTCACCGGCCCCGATGACTTACCCGAACTGCGCTTCCATAGGGCAAACCCGGCCACGATGGTGATGACAACCAGGATGGCACCGGCCACCCCCAGCACGATGACCAACAGGTTGGACTCCGTCTCTGGAGGAGAGCAATGCCATGAGGAGGAGAACCACCCCAGCCCACCGCTCCACGTGCCCAAGGCCACCGCGCTCACCCCACGCGTAGAGGACGGGCTCAGGCAGGCTGGCGTGCTCCACGCGGCACCGGTACTTGTCCTTCTCCTCCGGGAGGGCGTCAATGGAGGCCCAGGTGTAGTAGGTGCCGTCGCTGTTGGGCACGATGCTGCCCCACTCGGTCTCCTGGTCCCTGACCTCGCCGTCCTTCAGCCAGCTGACGGTGATGGGCCGCGGGTAGAAGCCGTAAGCGCGGCAGCGCAAGGTCAAGGTCCCGTAGGCCTCCTTCCCCGACACTCGGACCATGGGGGGCTCTGGGGAGGGGGTGGCGGTGAGGACCGGCACACGCACCCGTGCTGGCCGGTCCCCAGGGTCCCGTCTCGCCCGCACCTTTCCTCTCCAGCACGGCCCGCCCGTAGCTCACGTATTTCCTCAGCCACTCGATGCAAGTGATCTGCAGGTAGTGCTTCAACTGCTCAGCGACTGTCCCGTCCTCCTCCCACTTCCTCTTGGTGATCTGTGCCGCTGTATCCGCTGCAGTGAACGTCATCGTGTCCATGTCGAAGGCGATGAAGTCCCTCCCGTCGTAAGCGCTCTGATAATACCCCCTGGTGCTCCCATCCTCCAGGAGGTCACAGCCGGACATGCGCTGCCGCGTTTGAGCCCCTGAAACACAACCAGGGAGATGGGGCTGAGGGGCTGCTGCAGCCCTGGGTCATCACTGGGGCACAGACCCCCCCCGCAGCACCCCTTGCTCCAGCCCCATG